ACGTAGCGCGCAAACTGTAAGCGGCCTGATTGGTTTGATGAGAACAATGCAATGATTGGCGCATTAGTGTTGGAGCAGAATGTAGCATTTGCTGCACATTTGGATAACAGCAGTGACTTGGGGAAGAAAAGAAATTTTGGCAGAATTCATCGGCAACTTATCCGAGAGCTCCGTTGCATTAAAATGCATGGTGGACGGCGAAGTCGAAGCAGATCGAATGCTACGCCGATAGCATCAAACACCATTAATTCTTTGACTCCTTGAAGACGATGTAAGAACCGAGGTTGGAGTCGATGAGGACGCTGCTCGATGGCAGTTCAGTCGATATCTGCAAATAGACTGCAGGCATAATGCAGATCTGGCGAAATCAATTTGAGTGTCACTTGATCGAGCGTTCAGAGATCGACTTGCCTACATTGAGCGGCTTGAAACAACACAATGTGAAGGCGAGTCAAGCGGACACGCCGATAGAGCATGAGACGCAGAGAGAACTTGCTCAGCTGCGAAACTGCAAGTGTGCCGGTGCCGACGGGATCCCTCCTGAAGTAATGAAACACAGCGGACCTGCGTTCGTGACTGCACTACACCACTTGGTGCAACGGATTTGAATGGAGGAGAAGGCGTCACCTGAGCTAAAGGGTGCCCATGGGCTACCAATGCACAAGAGCAAAGGAAGCAAGCAATGTGTCACGAATTATCGTGGTATCAACTTTCTGAGTTGTGTGGGCAAGCTACTTGCCGAATCCTGCTCAACCGCCTCCTCAGTCAGGTTGTAGAACCGAACGTGGTGGAAGAGCAATGTGGATTCCGTTCGGTTCGCAGCATCTCAGTTGCAGGAGAAGTGCAGAGACCGACACCAGCAGTTGTACTCATTGTTTGTTGGTTTCATCACGGCATCTGATACGGTGAACCGCGAGGCATTGTTGCTGATGTTAGATAAGCTTGGTTGTCTTGGTAAATTTGTAAGTTTACTTGAATGTCTGCACAGTGGTATGCGGGCGAGGGTGCAGCTGAGTGGACAGACCTCGGGTGACGTTGAAGTTATATCTGGTGTGAAACCAGGCTGTGTCTTAGCTCCTGCCCTGTTTAATATTTGTCTTCATGACAAGATGTCTTGTGCGTTTGATACTACTTGTGCTCACGGCGTTCGTGTGGTGCGCCGTACTGATGGTGGGTTGCTGTACATCCGCCGTTTCGGTGCGAGAACCTTAGTCTTTGAGACAACTATCGGTATGCTACTGTTCGTTGTCGACTGCGCGTTGTTTGCATATGGCGCGGATGATTTGCAGCACATGGCTAGTGTTCTGATTTCGATAGTTGCCAAATTTGGATTTACCATCAGTAAGCAAAACTGTCTAGCCATTTCAGTCCTCACCGTAAATGCAATCTGCAAATTTGCCGCAAACCAGCATTGGCGATGAAGTATTGGAGACCACCTTCCGCTTCTGCTGCCTTGGAAGTGTGGTTTCGAAAGTGCAGCAAATACACAGTTAGCTTCGTACCCGCTTTTTGAAGGCATCGGCGGCATTCGGGAAGCTAGAGTACCGAGCATGGAAGAACTGCCAGCTTACCATAAGCACGAAGCTGATGGTGTACTAATCCATGGTGCTGTCCGTTGTTCTATGCAGCAGCGAAACGTAGATAGTGTACCGTGGGGATGTACGATATCTCGAGCAGTTTCATCAAGAGTGTGTGCGACGGATTCTGCAAATCGGTTGTTGCGACAGATTTACAGACACGAATATGATGCGCCGAAGTAGAATTTATGCAGTGGACTGCGTACGTTCGCTGAGACATTCGAGGTGGCTCTGTCATGTCGACGCAGATACCGAAGCAACTGTTATGTGGTCAGCTGAGTGTGGGGAAGCGGCATGCAAGGAAATCGAAGTTGCGTTACTAGGGCATGATTAGCTCGAACCTATCACGTTCTAATGTTGATTTCTGAACTTATGGATCGAAGGCCGTTGATCGGCGTGCATGAGACGATCTAACCACGAAGGCCATTTTCGATGTGCAAGGAAAGCCCTACTGGATATGAAGAAGAAGCGGCTGGTGCGGTAGCGACAGTCGCCGATGGGTTGCACTCCATTAACATCGGGCGCATGGTGCTGCAGCGCACGCAATTACGAATGCCTAAGTCAGGCAGGTCTAGTGAGCCACGAGCAAAACACTAGGACCAGCATCCATGCGACGACGGTTGCTGCTGTTAACGTACGCACATCCGGCGCAGTGTTGGTAGGTACGTTGCTTTCGGTATATAACCGTGTGCTTGAGTGCTTAGTTTCTTTATTTCAGAGAGTTGTTTTGCTACATTTTATTAATACTTACTTTGTTACCTCATTTTAATGTCTATCTGAATACTCTGCTATCCATTTACACAGGTCGCTTAAACGAAAGGTGGTTATTTTCTTTAATTTTATTAGCGTCTTTTGCTTCTTTTTTGTTCTCATTTTTTACCTTGTATTTGTCACGGACATGTTTATTAGCAATCTTTTCATACGGTAATTTTGTGGAGAGGTTGTCAGCAAATCCGTTTGCTTCATTCGACTTGTTTTATTTTATTCCGTCATTTCAAGTGACTGGCTGTTGCTTGATATCCCCGGTGTGACTGTGCTTGATGTGTATGTTGTCAAGGTGCCTACCTGTCTATTACCCACTAACTGGTCCATACTGGCTCTAGGAGACACTTGGTCGTTAACGGAGGGGACGGAGTGAACAGTCCTCTTGACCTTGTTACGCTCAAAGAGTGGATCGTTGCACATGGTTTGTGTGTACAGCGAGCCACGCCCTAACCACCGCCTTGTGTGCGCTTGGCGTCCCAAATACAGCGTGCTTGTGTTTGCATGTGAAGGAGTGTGGGCTGACTCCGTTGATAATAGATGGCTCCCATGCACATGGTTTGCAGTCATATATCTTCGGGTCCACATTGGATATAGAATGAGTGGATATAGCTGTGGCTGGTGTAGCGCAAGCCACCCATGGTCGCTCTGTAGGCGCAGGCGTCCTGTGGCTGTCCCCGTAGAGGCCGCAGTGACAGGCAAATCCGGTACCGGATCCAGCCACTTATGCTGCAGGTTGGTTAGACCGTACAGCCAGAGGAGATAAGTCCCGGGTTCTAATCGACTCTGCACTGTGATCGTAAGTGGGTTGGTGAAAAAGAGCTTTGGACACTGCCCACTTTTTCGTAACTGCATATTTTGTGCAAGTTCTAACCTACGGACTGTTCTTTCAGTCACTGGACACTGCTTTCGTGTTTAACACATTAGCTCGCAAATCTTGGGGCGCAGCTAGGCGTTTGTGGCCTTTTTCTCTTTATTCGGCTCTCATCGAACAGCTGTTCGTTATCTCGACTGCGGTCTCTATTTATTAAACTGACTGTGTTTGAAGCGATGGAACCATTGTCAGAACTACTGGTGTGTATTGGGTTCCGTTAGCCCACAATAGATGCTGAGCTATATCTTGTCAAGGTCTAAATGGATTTCTGCAGTTACTCCAAAATGTGTGCTCGTTTTGTGGGAATATGTGCAGGATTTAACAATACACGTCACCTTTGTTGGCATTCTGTGCCATACTGAAAAGGGTTTAATGCATAAGTACGCTATTCGGTTTAATCGGCATATCTTTGAACTAGGTAAGCTCAGTAATAATACGTTGACCGTACGAGAAGCAATCAACTGAATTTTCACTAGCAAATTTAAAAATGATGGGAAAACAGTGCTTCGGTATTTTGAAACGCTGTGATTCATAGAAAACCTTAGCATCTTACATGAACTCAGCGCTACATTCCTACTTTGTCCAAACTCAGTCTCTCTGGAATGTTAAGAACAACGATACTTTTAAGCTACAATTGCTTTCGCGCAGTCCAAACGCGATGGAGTCATTATTATACTCTGCCTTACTAAGTTGAACATAATTAGTCTTTTTCGATGAGTTTCCGGTGTAATCCAGCGAGATTAAATGATATTTATAGGGCAACCGAAAATCCAAGAGTGCATCAATTTTGTAGATCCCTGATTGTTAGGAGTAGGTTTAAGCGATGAGTTCCGATGTGAACTTAGAGTTTGGGGTTGAAAAGACTAGTGGCTATTTTAGATTACAATATTTTACACGTTTGGCTTGCAAGCTAAGAGATACAGCACCTTTCGTTTTTCTTGGTTTTGATCAATTTGTTTCAGGAACCAAAAAGTTTGCTTAACTATACTCAATTAGCACGCAGATCGGAGGTACCGTATATATGCCACTTAGGTATTTCACTGAAGCCATTCACTTTGCACCCGACGTTTGCTAAAGTTTTATTGCATGACCCGGTTATCGAGTGACATATTCTGTGGCACACTCTTTTCTACAGATGCTACATTTATATCACTGTTAACCTGACAAAAGCTAGTGCTTTCATTATTGCAACCGATGAGAGTTTCCGGAGCCACTAATCGTCAGTCGTATGCGTGGGGTTCCGTTTTGCCATGTTAAACAAAAGAGCCAGTGCACTTAAGGAGCCGAGTCGATTCTGTTTTATATTAGATACGAATGATATATCTATGGCTAAATATCACAGAAACACTGGAAATCGTCATGCGTAATAAACTGCTGTTAAATTACGGGATCGAAAGCCTGGTAGAATGGGGTTAAAGGAATACTTTACAATTTTCCCCAGAGATGTGCCTGAATTGTATCTGACAAGTGCAATATTTTCTTCCGAAATGTGCCCCAAGATGTCGGCCTATCCCGTTGTTTGGAATTCATTCGTATCGGCAATGAAGTATGGTTATATGAATTTAGTAGTTTAATCGAAACTGAGGCTACTGAACTGTGTGCACTAGTCTTTGTGTGCGAAGTTGAGCTTACCTGTATTGCCGCTGAAGTTCACCTATTCAGAGAAAAATTTTCACTCACTATTTAGCTCATCATACTCACAGTACTTATCTTCTGCTCACGTCACTACGCAATAGATAGTTAAATACCTCGAAGTGCTAAACAATCTTCTATTTTCGTATTCACAGTTCCGCTCGGCACTGGCAGACGTTGTGGATCCTTGTGATCCCCGGCCCCGTTTAGAAGACCTTGGTCCGATTGGAGAAGGAAGCACCGGGGTGGTCAGCTTAATGCGAGACTTGCCAAAGAATATTTACGTGGCTGTAAAAAAGATGAATATTTTCGAACAGCAACGCAGGGAGCTTCTCTTTAACGAAGTAACTTTCTTATTCCAGCCCTATTAATGGAACGCTAGTTGAATGCAACACTTTTTTATGAATTCACCAGTCGTAACATGTTTGCTTTTAACAGCAGCAAATTGGGTGTTGCCCGCCTGAAACCACTGCACTCCATGACGCGTTTCGAGGTTGTTTCCTCTCATCAGATAGAGATAGCACGCATCGAACCCCGGACCGTTGGGATGTTAGTTGTGACCGCCACCCCTAAGCCACTGGGTCACGTCGGGCAAAGCTTGGCATAACAATTAGTGACAGATTGGGAAGTCAATTTGAAGTAAACGTTGTGTGGATGGATTGATGAGAGGAAATGACCTCGAAACACGTCATGGATTGCACTGGTTTCAGGCCGGCAACACCCAATTTGCTGCTGCTTCATCAGCTACGGTCCTAGTGATCGAATGCTCAAGGTGCACTTCATTGGGATTTGCGGTCCACTTTGAGATTGCGTGTCGTAATCCATCCACACAACGTGTACTTCAAATCGACTTTCCTATATGTTTGATTTTAATTTCAATTTACAGTTCAGCAAAAATTTGCTGTCACACTACATATTATGTGGTCCAGTAATATAGGAACCGGCGTAATCTCAAATAAATAGCAGCATCGGGTACACAACACCTGGGGATCCGAATAAATATGGATTGCCAGTGACATTGTCGGACTATGCAGACTGCGCTCATCGAGACAACACATGGAATTAGGGAGAACACGACGTGACTGAAACATCAGGGAGGTAACAAGTACAATAACTGCTGATAGAGTTAAATGTTTGTCCTAACTCACGCAGTCTATACAGACAGATTGACTTTTCTTTGACAACTAAAGTAGATGTGTGTGTGTGATGGAAGATATATTGTTGCGATGTAAAAGGATGGTTTAATTCCTAATTCGCTTGCCATTACGTTTAGAATTGCTGATTTATTTGGCTGTTTTTCTGCAAAAGATAATTTCCAATGATGGTGATGATTCTGTCAGATATATCGCATGTTATCACGGACCTTAGATATACTATATAATTAATGGTTATGTTTTGTGTGAGGTGAAATGTTTCATTAGGAATCCGTAGTAGTAATAGAGGATCGTTACTCGGTACATTTAATAAATGTCTTGATCAACTTACAGTCCTCGCGTTGCTTTGTGTACACAGAAGTTTAGTGCTTGTCGACACTACTTTTGAGTCTACATCAAACAGCTAAACTTTAATCTGCGGAATGTTTTATGTAAGAAGCTTTAAGTTCCTGCCAGAAACAAGGATCCGTGTGGAAGGCAGTTTACACTGGTTCTTATAAGGAAGTGGAATCTATAAGTGTTGGAAAATATCCGCTTAACCAGTTCATCTTTCAGCGTGGCTAATGTTGTGAGTAATGATGATGATGATGAAAAAGGCGCCTAGACGAAATGCCCCATGGTCCCGTGGCCAAACACGGACAAAGATACCGGTATATTTTATAAGTTTTAGGCTTGCTGACTAAACATCCGGACTGGTCGAGTTCGATTACTCCGTGAATACTCATCCACCTGACTAGGTTGACGATGTGTTAACATGTAAGGTTCAGTGGTTGCGGCTGGAGTTGAATGGTCGCCTGCCTAATGAGCAATTCCGTAGGCAAACGAAATCTGCAATAGACGTAAGATGATTAGTGCGGAAACTCAGGCGCAAACTGATCACTGTTAAAAGTAAATAAAATAAAATGATTATTATCGACTAAGCGAGGCAAGCCTGCACAGGCATGATCATGTTAAGAGTACAAAACGCGGTCAGGTAATGTAAAGGTAACAATAGGATTGCCACATATGTTGTGAGCTGAATATATGTGTGCATGTAGGCGTGTGTAGCTGTGCTTATGGTATTTTCCGATCTTTTCCTGCTCCTTTGATCGTGTTTGAACGTGTCACCAATGCTAAATGGATGCTTCATGTCTGTGGACTTGAAGCAGTTGTCCGGGTAAGTAATGAGGCGACTTTAGTTGGTGACGAGTCACAACCGCCACATCACAGTGTTGTTAAACAGATATTTGTGGCTTTTTCTAGAGCGAAAGCTTGCCAGGCGAAAACCCACCACGTCCTGGAACACTACCTCCGCTGGTGGTCCGCTGCCGTCGCCCATGGCTCAGTGACAAAATTTGCTGACTTGCAAGAGTAAGGTCGTGGGTTCGAATCCGGCAGGATTCGGCGGGTGCGCGCTACTGACGAGTCGCAATAGGACGAAACGGCCGTCTAGCGCTTTCATGGATGTGTGGTGTCTGTCCGTCTGTGTATAACTGCGACGAATCTACACAAACATCTAATAAATCCCCTACTACTTACAAATAATCAATAGTTGCCTTAGCAGCACACTTTCCACATCGATTGGTGGCGACTTGCAAAGGAAGTCGTTGCTCTGGGGGCCAGCCTTGTTCTCTGCACATCATAACAGGTAAGACAGTGGTGGATGAGCCGCGCTATATCGCAGTTAAATATCAGTCATGGTGGTCCGCTGCCATCGCCCATGGCTCAATGACATAAGTCGCTGACCCGCTAGAGTAAGGTCGTGGGTTCGAATCCGGCAGGATTCGGCGGGTGCGCGCTACTGCCGAGTCCAAATAGGACGAAATGGTCATCTATCGCTTTCCTGGATGTGTGGTGGCTGTCTGTCTGTGTCTAACTGCGACGAATCTACACAAATACCTCCGAACTATTTGCTAGAACGGCGTGAATACGATCCACCTAGCTGGTACCACGTGGAAGTTGTTCGCCTAGTCAGCCATTTAACATAAAAATCTCTGGAAAAGATGTAGTTGCCACGAAATCAACTAACTTCCTCTTCCATCTCTTGGAATTCAGTTGAGATAGACTAATGCAATTGATGACTTTTATTAGCGTAAATTTACACATAAATCATTTTAATATTTTAATGAGAATCCTATGGAAAATATAAAGCATTCCTCACAGATTAGCGTGCTTGTTTCGATAGCCAAACCTTAATATATGTACAAAGAGAGTCTTTCAAGTTATTGGTAGTATTTGGGAAACAGCTGCGTTCACAAAGATATATTACAGTCTTCAACTACATAGCGTTGCTCTGCTATCACTGTTACGCTAAAAAGCCTTTATACTTGGTGCTAAATGGTTACATGGCTTTTTGGTCTGGGTGTAAGTTTTGTGGAAAGTGTAATGCGCATGATATAATACTGTTCATTTTCTTCCAGGTGATGATTATGCGACATTATCGGCATCCAAATATTGTCGAAATGTACTCCAGCCATCTCATCGCAAACGAGCTCTGGGTGATAATGGAATACTTAGAAGGTGGTGCTCTTACAAACATTGTCTCCAGAACGCTGTAAGTACAATCATGCGTATTAACTAGCATATATATATATATATGAATATACATTTTGAGTAGCAGGTAGCATTGAAAAATTCTGGTATCCAAATCTTCAGATTGAATATGAGAAAAATGTTCAAAAAACATTTGAACGACTAAAAAAGGTGAAAATCTTTAAAGTATGTTGGGTGCTGATAAAAATCTTTTATACAAGAGAGTAGTAAGAGATATGTTTGATAGATTTAAAAAGGTATTACAGCAATAATGAGTCGTATGGGCATTGTGCAACCGGAAAAACACAATACGACCATTTCTTTCTCCCTAGCACGTTCAGCAGCGCCATTATGTATGAATACTGTGAGGTTATAACGCGTTAACTAACTGAGCTATAAGGGCAAGTACCGACCGATACGACTGTTACACGATGTAATATAGCGCGGCTGACCGTCTATTTACAGACAGATTACTGCCTTGCTGCCGTGACTATCTAAACCAGCGGCGCTAGTAACTAGGTCCTAACCTTCCACTATACCTCATTGGAGTTGTCCCCCAATTGATAACAGTTTTGTTCTGGGTTGCGGCTCCGTGGAGATCTGATGGAACGGCCACTTCTGGTGACTTTCGTACTTATGAAACGGTCTTTTAGTGCTTTTCAGGAGTTGTGATGGTCGTTTAACTGTTTCTAGTTATAAGGAGCTCCGACTTACACTAAGATTTGACGTTGGATTTTTCAGTGGTATCAGGTCTTTCAATTTTAAGTCGCTTCGAATACAACGTCGAAGTTGTATTTCATATGTATTCCAATACTTCAATGAACACCACGGTCCACATTGAGATTGCGCATCGCAATTCATTCACAAAACCTGTGCTGCACAATGACCCTCAAATCACTCAGTGACCGTTGTGACATGAATTGCTCGTTGTGACTCGGTGGCAAAACGGGTAGAGGTTCAAAATAACATGTCGATGGTCCCGGGTTCGACACCTGCTATCTTAATCCGATGAGACCGATTAATGTGGAAACACATCATAGTATGCGGAATTTGCAGGCCGGCAACACACAGTTTCTATCTATTTCAACTACGGTACTAGAATTGTCCAGGTTTAACTACAATGGAAATCGGGCTTCAAAGTGAGATTTCGAGTCGGGATTCATTCACACAAATTAATTAATTAAAAAAATAAACGCTTTATTCCTCAACAGTGCGAGGCACAGACCAATTGAGTGGTCTTATCAACATGTAAAACCGGATCGCATAATATAGTTAATGTTACGTCTTTTGTTCGCATGTGTTCTTGAAATGATTAGTAGTTTGAAAATAATAGAAAGATAAAGAAACTGAGAGCAATAGTAAATGTAGATTTCACGGAAAGTTCAAGTAAGACGGTCATCCACGGAACTGTCCTCAGGGGACTTGCTTCCATGCAGGGTATTCCAACGATGGGTTTCACCCGCACTTCCATGCTCCGATTGACTCTGTGCCGGTGTGGCAAAATAGTAAATAGGCCATCAGAACTGGGTATCAAATGTGTTTTATGGCTGTTTTATACATACATTATAGGCGATGAAGCTTCAGCCCGTTTTTTCATACGGATCAATCAAGTATGGCACTTTTGTTTTATGCCAGCGAGTCAGTAGTAATAAGATTTGCATGGGTACACTATTTTATTTTGGAAGCTGTAATCCGTCACCGCAAGAGATCAGTACAGTCGTGACCAACAATGAAAAAAGAAGAAGATAATGTATGAGGAAGAATAAAATATACTAATGAATAAAAATGCCTGCAGATAGGCCAAACACAATTTGATGGAAAATTTTGGCGAGTGACGATGATGGTACAGAGACATCAGCTTGAAAGGCGTAATGCATCTACGAACCGGTGCGTCAAAGGAGGAAACAGAATTGGTTAGACGGATTGATAGGAGTAAGATTGTTTACAAATACATATGCAAAAATTCAACTATATGTAGGGAACCTTATAATATTGAAACGAGTAGAGGTTATGATGACTTTCATATGTATCCAGGAGCTTTCTCATACAAATCATATAGAATCACCGTTTGGCTTAGTGTTAACCAGATATTATCAACGATCAGGTGAATATTGATCATGTGTCTGGATTGTGGATAGGTAGTGCAGTTTCTAACACTCCATGGAAGTTTGTTCCATATTAACGCGTATTTTACGGAGAAAACTTTGAGCGGAGCTTTGTGAGAGACTTTTGTATTTGCACTGTGCGCTCGCTGTTTCTTAGTTCATAGGGCATACGAGTCTGAAATTCCAGTTGTGGCTGAACATTGAAGCTTAATCCGAAAAGTAAGCGGTATAGAAGACACAGATTAAGTTTAAGTCTGCGTAGCCATAGCGGCTGCAGATTTAGCGCCTTGCAACGCTCACGGTATGTCATAGTATTAGGCATGTTCAGAAACCTCTTTGTGAATGAGCGTTGCATGTCTTCCAGTGCTATGAAGTCCACTTTTCTCAGATTACTATGCACTATCGCACAGTACTCAAGCTTCGGCCTAACACATATTTTGAGGGCTTGAAGCCTGAAATCCGTCAAAATCATTGTTCAACTTATTTAGGTGTTCACTTTTCTGACAGAAGCCTGCAAGAATATAACATGCTGTAAAAAATTAAATGAGGCAGAATATCTTAGACCAAGGTCTCGGATTGCGCCACACGCAGGAATAGGGTATCATTTAATGTAAGGATATTCAGAGAAGGGCCACAAGGGATTACCCTTGTCAGTGGCAAAGTACAACTTCCAGGAGTTACTCCAGTGCTCCAATGCGGACAAGTCAAGCTAAGTTAGGACTACATTTTCCCGGGGCGGAACCATACACAATTTTAACATCATCAGCGAAAATGATTGGCTTCCGATACGAGATTTCATCAAGGAGATAGTTGAAATAGATTAAGAATAAAAGCGGGCCTAGCACGCTACCTTGAATCACTCCACTAGAGATTTCAGTGTTCAAATGTATTTTTACCGATTTTGACTATTTGCTTTCTACCCTCTAGGTAGGAAGACAACCAAACTAGAAGCGATTTTGTGATATCATAGGACATAAGCTTCCGCAGCAACAAATTGTGTGGGACACGGTCAAAAGCCTTTTGGATATCAAGAAATATTACGATGATGACACTTCTGGCGTCTCTTGCTCTAGTCACATAATCAAGGTAATATAACTGGCAGGTAGTACACGACCTACCTTTCAAAAAACCGTGCTGATGTTTACTGAGAAGGCTCACCGAACTAAAATATTCTACTGTGCTTTCTTTAACTAACCACTTCATGATTCTGGAGATGATAGATGTGTGGTGGATTGGGCGGTATTTTTTTACATCTTGCATAGATCCGCTTTTGTGTCATGGTATTATAGTTGATTGTTTCCAGTGTATAGGATACTCCCCATTGAGCATGGAAAGTGTAAATACATAAAGTGAAACAGGGGGATGTCTGGACCTCCGTGCTTGACTACAATGGGCTGGATGTTGTCAGGACTTGGTGAGCATGATGACCGAACTAATATGAGTTGGCGGCACATGTCACTAAGTGTAAATTCAACAGTTTGAAGTGTAATACTGTCTCAAGTATCAGCTTGAGCTGAAGAGTTTTCGCATTAGTGCCATAAGTGGCTATAAAGTAGTCATTGAACATCGAACATATGATTGCACGATCGGTTATGTTAGTTCCATCAGAGTTTACAATAGTGTTTATACAACTTGATTTTCCATTCTGCCTACGGTCCAAAAGTTTTGAGATGCAGCCTACCACGTTGGCGCCCTAGAGTACCATTACTTCTTCAGAGCGTAGCACTTTGTGGTGGTACTGGTATGACCCTGTAAGCAATCTGGTGTGGAGCATCAGCAGAGTAAAATCGTTTGTTTTCCTAAATTTTTTTCTTTATTTCATGAAGTTTAGTGGCTACCTTTTTTGAGATGCTTTCAGGTGCAGCAGTCCTTTTCAACTTCTTAGTAGGTTCCGGAGCCACAACTTCAACACAAAGCTGAATGCGATGGTAGAACTCATTAAAAGCAATTTGTACATTCTTTGCTAAGAAGTATGGATCCCAAAATGGCCCTCTTATGGTATACTTCACCTTAAAGTTTAATGAGAATGAGTTTATTATTAGACATGATCACGGTGATCTCCATAACTTATGTAATTCTTGATCCCAGTGGTGCTAAGGGGTCTTCAGAACTAGGGAAGCAGCATAACTGGTTGGTGGAACATTTTTCACGAGGAGCAGGAATCTGTTCTGCCTAATGAACTACTTTGACAGGATGCCATATTTGAACATCTAATATAGATTGAAATTTCAAAAGGCATTAAATTTATTATAGCCGATTGAAAGGGATCATTATCTTTAGCTCACACACTGTTGTATCAAACTGATAAGGTTGCATTTGTAGTCCATTGAAGTGGATATAGCTAGAGCACATCGCGACAACTCCAGTAGTAACTACGCTCTTCCATTTTATTAGGGTTGCTCTTTTATTCTGCCGTATCCTCCGGATGGTTTTCATTGCTTCTGTAAAAATAAGAGGAACAGCCTCACTTGAAAACTGTTTGGTCATAGCGGAATCACATAAGTTAACAGTGACTAATTTTAATTGTAACAGTAATGGGCATGAATTTTAGATTTTTACGTTATGGTTAACCAGGCATGGCCAAGGTATTACGAGAGATTATAACCATCTGATCGCAACTCAATAGAAAATTATAGCGAATAATTAAGCAAGTGCAGCGCTTTGGATAGAAGGAATCGTCCGCTGGGACCAGAGTTGCACAAAGAAATGAGTTACAGTAACCAGCATATACTTGTAGGTCTAGATATTCTTTGTCAAATTCAAAACAATCGAAGAGTTAAACTGAGCCGAGGGGTAATTCTTTTATCAAATAAACTCCCACAAAGGGAAGATCCATCAACGTTTGCTCATCTTGGAATGAGACGCCCGTGAAGTAGCCCTTAAGGAAAGCATGAAGAAGGCATGAAGAGTCAGCAGAGTTACGCAAAATGTCAATAGAAGGTAGGTTTTGAATATTATCGATAATAAAACATAGGAAGTTCAAGAGAGGGACTAATAAATCAAGCAAACTTAGAATCGGGTGCAGGAATACGCAAAATTATGCAGGAGCAGAAAAATGAACTTACTAATCAAAATGTTTGTTCAAGTACTAGACTACAAGAGGTAAGATCGATCCAACTTATGTTTAATTTCAGTCTAGATACTAAAATCTAAACAAATAAGACCTCCAAGAAGTGTCTTGCATATAGATAACTTGAATCTGGAAAATGCAGTCAGTTTTCCACAGTACAGGTAAGTTTAGAGAGAAACACATATAAGTATTTTAAGTCCGTAGGATAAAGCGCAAAGCGAAAACCGCGAGGTTTGAAATGATGACAACACATTCGCGGAAGAACGAGACCAATGGAAAAGCTAGCTACTAATCATTTAGAGCTAATGTGCTCCGGGTGATAGTATCTTTAAACTAGAGGTAGTAAGTAACGGAGTTTTGCATTTTGGTGGCGAGCATCAGAGTAGGACGTAGCTGTATCTATAAAGATATAAAAGAAATGTATGGTAGCAAATAAGTAAAGAAAACGGAAGAGCAAGGAATCCGTTGTGGCCATTGTCTTGCACACACTTGGTCTCATAGGCCCGTGGTAAACACTACTGTGGAAATCATCAGAAACAGGTTTTCGAAATGTGCGATAGACAGTGCAGAAGAATAGTGCATCACAAATGGTAAGAATAGGGATAAGACAGGGTTTGTGTAGAAAATATGGGGAAAAACCGTCCTGTTACTAATGCTGTGCCAGCATACTGGATATATTAGGTGCGAAGAATTTAGGTAAGGAAGAACGTATAACCGTCGCGTTCCTTATGACACGAACTGAACAGTTAATTGAGGATTTTGTATTTAATTATTTTTAATTTTATCTTTTCTTCGAAGCACTCTACCATTCACTGCATTACCTGCCCGAATGTCTTCGCACACGAACATTTGTCCTTTATGTTTTCGTTCCGCAAATAACCCAGTCTTTTCTAAGGCAACCTACCACCTATATTTACAAACATTAGGTCTGTTTTATTTAACTTGATATGAGGAAGTCTTAAGTGTCGTGTTGAATTCTCTTATGTTTTTTGCATTTCTAATGCGATTAAGGTACCTGTTCCATGTCAAGCGGTATTTTATATGACAGAATTTCTGTCTAACTGCTGCCCGAATATAAACATCACGATTCTGTGTCACGTATGTCATAACTGGTTTTTAATCGAAATGTTAGAGTAGTATGCGTGCTATGCACATATTCCTACACCAGTTTCTGTAGAAAAACCAGATTTAAATGTAATTATTGCAACCAAAATTTTCAAAGGTTAGCTGATTGGTTATGACAATATAAGAAACAGGTATGAATTAATCGTAAAAGCGTTTGGTGAAGGAACATAAAACATTTTCTATAGATTTTTAAACGTAGCTAGCAGTATTCTGACGAGGGTTTTATAATATTAAAAAAAATTAAGAACCGTATCACTTTCAACGTAAATAACTAACAATAATGCCCCATTAATTACACTGTTCTATTCACAATATGGTTCAAATGTTCACTGAGGATTATGACTATGGATTGAAAAATCCTGAATATCTACATTAAAAGTGAACGAATAATGTTTTCATCGAATCGGATTCATCCGGCTTCAATAGCGCATCTATAAGTCGTTATATTGCATTTCGATACTAATGACAACTGCCACTTTGCAGTCTGCCCCTATGTAGCTTGTAGATCACATTTGATACAAGCTACTTTACCTATATATTGTGAATAGAGCCATTTTTCAACTGTTAAATCGTCCACAGCTAGGTGTATTTTATCAAAACGAATGATGGGTAAAAGATCGTCTTTGTACAATAAGTAAAAGTGCAGACCCAGAATGATGCCTTGAACCGCACCACCAGCAAAGTTTGGGGCCTAGAGAAGAACCCATTTACGTTTGCAGTTTACGAGCACTCTGTTAGATAAGACCAGAACCAAGGAAATTTAAGCATTTGATACATCAAATACTTAGTTCCAACAAGAGCCTTATGCGTAAAACTCGTAAGAGGATCTGGTTACGAAAAATAAAGTGCACACACACTTGCGCAGAAAACAAACGCATCGTCAGTAAAACACTGGGTTGACAGAGTAATACAAAAATGCTTGACGACCGCGTTCTAATTCATGACTTGATTTGAAACGGAGTCAAAACGTACGAAATCTTTTACCTAGCCATTATACTTGCCTTATCGTTTTAGGGAAAGTGTATAATACATACTTGATCATGCGGATTGCCGTATACCTCTGCATTTTATTGTTTCACACAGAGCTGGTCAGGATTGTATGCGTCAGCGTGACATGTTTTACGAGACAGAGAGCAAGAGACTAACGGCTAAAAATCCGACGGATTGCCTATACAACTACGTTTAGAAAAACGTTCGAGTAAACGCAGACCTAACCAGCGAAATTGTTCCAAAGACTTTTAAGATGGTAACATTTTCACTCCGTTTCGGGTGGTTCCCTTTTTGATCAGTCTTGAGGTTGGTCTAAAGTATGAGAAAGGAATCGTGGTTCCAATCAGTCATCAGTGCGCGTGTAGTAGTTGAACTTAGGTAGTGCACACTATAGCATGCATACTGAGTTGATATTGAGGGTCATCTTGAAGTTCATATTGTTTGGATGGGTTGCGACACGCAATATCAAAGTTGACTGCGATTCCCATTGAAGCGGACCTTAGTCCTTCGAGCATGAGGACCGTAGCTGAAGCAAATAGAAATTGGGTGTCGATCGCCCGAAAACACTACAAGCAGGCCGTTCTTTCATGTATCGCCCATAGGAAACTTGGCGAAAATGTCAGATAATCTTGGTTTCCTGAGATTGTAATCCCCTTTCTCGGTACGTCGCACTTTTGCCACGATTTTCATCATGATAGATTGCGTAAAAAGTAAACCCACATCAATAACATGGCTAATGCAATATTCGTGGGTGCTATCTACAGGTGACTATTGTGCGTAATGAAATCTTTAGGTCTATGAACTTGGAGCTATCGAACAATCAAGGTAGTAATACACTTCACCGGGAAGCGGTCCATAAAGTGTGTTTCATAGTATTGTAGACTTAGGCCCGTCAGTGGTGTAGTCAGCATGCAAAACTTGCTCAATTTGATCCGCAGGTTATCTTGGACGGACCAACAGGTAAATTCAGCAGGGTCTATTAGGATCATCTTAAGATCTCTTGGTACTTTACTTGCCTGTTATATCATTATTACGGCAAACAGTGGAATATCTTAGGTCATATCTCAAGCTAGATCCCTTAAGCGCGTTACACTTATACTAACTAGCTTCGCGTACAAGCCCCCTACCTTTCATCTGCTTGTTGCTAACTGAGAAAGTCGCAGCTTCAGACCAGGATTGGGTTACTTAACTAGAACAAATAGAGCAGGATACGATGATCTAAGTAAGCATAATTATCCGGACAGTCTATGGCGATGACACTAACCTCGTTATTAACTGTTCTAGCCCAGTTGAACCACAAAATTAACGAGGCCATGGTTAACGGACGAAGTTGACAAAAACCTTCTTGCCCCAAATACAATGTTGCAGTGGTTTTCCTAGTAGGTCCTCGGAGCATACGCGACGCTTGCCTGCAATGCTTTCGAAGATACAGAAAGCGAGGTTACTGCTTGTTAACTGTATGGTCCGTGAGTTCACATTCAGGGTGAATAGGATGACAATATCCTGTTTCCAATTTAAGGAAATATTTATCTTACCTAAGCTGCGCTGAATGCAAAGGCCGGTTTATGCATGTCTAACACGTCACATAGCCAGATTGATGGAATGGCAACTTGAACGTTGTTGGGTCCGATATTAGCTGAAGTCTGCTGGTTAATTGGGGAGCCAAAGAGGGGTGCAGTAATTATTCGTTTACATTAGCACAAAGCCACGTCTTCAGTATTTCAGTTGTTTTCGCAGAAAACAAACTACGCATGGTGCTGAACATCTTGACATTGTAAACCAAGCTGAAAATGAGCCGTAAAATCGATAAAACAGCTGCTTCTCGCATTTGGAAATACTGATTGGTCGCAGAGAGTATTGTCTCAATGACAGGTTTGTCCACCGGGAACCTGCTTAGTTCAAATAATGACTAAGCCTTACCGGCTTTTCCTCAATGAGATAAAGGTGAATTTGCTCAAAACTTTATTTAGGTGTATTAATAGTCTATAAAACCCTGATGGCCTAAAAATATTCGGAGCGTTGGACTATTACGCTCTTAGCAGATGGTAATTCCAATCGGCTTATCTCGAAATATACTTAGGTAACAGTAGAAGAATAGTTGTTTTGTACTGCAGAGAATAAAGATTTTATCCTGCTTACAATAGAGGATGAAGATACTCCTCTGAACACAGCAAAAAGATTACATACCGCAAATTTTAGGGCTAGTTGTGTTGCCGCAATCGACGTTAGAAACCGAAATAGCAAACCACTTATCAGAAAAATGAAGTAAAATCCATCAACGTGTCCCGATTTGATTTCATTCCCCTTCCAAACATGAAAAAATTATTGACTGCTTTCATGTCAAGGTGTGTGTGTGTGTGTGCAGTCGTCTCCGTTTACTAATTGCTGTGATGTCGATATGGGACTGACCGCATTGCTCACTGCTCACCGGCTAACATTCCAAGTTCGTCTTCAAATACAAGCGTCTCATTGTTCGTCAACAAAACCACACGTGGTTGGCTTGGTGCGCTTTCCAGGTAGCACAATACATATTCCCCATATTGGTTAGCGTCATCCAGTTTCGGATTTGCCTGTCACTGTGGTCTGCCACAGGACGCCTGCGCCTACAGAGAGACTATGTGTGGCTTGCGCTACACTACCCACAGCTCCAACCACACACTCCATATCCAGTCTAAACCCAGAGGAA